ACTCCTGTCTCTCTGAAGGTAAGTCGCTTATAATCTGACAGACAGTTAAGTTTCTTAGCGCAGGGATTTTACTTAAGTTTCATTTACACTTAGGAGTAAAACCATGTGAGTACAAATCCGCTACATCCAGTTTTTAAAATGACAGCTGTCTTGTGTAACTGCGTCCTTGCAATCTGTTAGTCTTTTATCTTTCTGGTGACTTTACAAACTGAAGCACTGTGTGTGTAAAAGTGAAAACGCACTAACAGGGACTTGTCTCGTCTTCAGGCTGTTCTGAGACAGGAAGAGGCTGTTACATCACAGACAACAATGAAGTCCATCGCTTGTTTCTCATCGTCTGTCAGAGCAGCGTGTCAGCACACCTCAGCTTGTGTCCCTGTAAACCGGGGTCTCTGCAGTCCGGTGAGAAGATGCTCTCATGTGGATTTTGCCAACAAAACTGTAGTGGCACAGCAGCCATGTGTAACCGGTGTGCGTACTTTCCATAACACGCACGTAAACGCAACAGCAGTGCAGCAGGTGAGTGCAACCCCTCTGCCCACCCCGGTGCCCATACCAGGGAGAGGAGAGGATGAACTGACTGTGTTCCAGTTTGGCAGATATATGCCAACAAAGACAGCTGCAAGACCAGCCCCTCACCTGTCTCCATACAGCCCATACACCAAGCCACAGAGCAATGCAGCTGCACTAGTCAACATCCGGTCTCTGACTGAAGGAGAGGTGATCCCTGAGCTGTGCTCCAAGCTGGCAGGCTTCCCCAGCAATGACAGGGCAGAGGGACTCGCCACTTTACTTGGAGCATGTGTTGAATTTGGCCTGGCAGCCCACAACCCTCTAGTCATCAGACTGATAAATGAGTGCCTGGAGCTCCTCTCCAGCGGGGACATCGAGGTGTCACAGCTCTGCCACCTGGGTGAGGTGGCATATGCCCTGGAAGGCCGCCAGTCGGCCATTGTGACAGAGGTTCTGGACTCTATAGGTGGTGCCGTAGAAGAGGATGTCTCTCCCAGGGAGGCTGCCAGAGTCTACTCCCTGCTGGCTCTGTGTCACGACCCTGCCAGCCAGAGGCAGAAACTCATGCTGTCCACTTTGCACAGACATACACAGAGGCAGGTCCACCGGCTGAAAGCAAGCCAAGTCAGCGACATACTGCAGTCCCTGTTGAAGTTACAGCAGGCACAGGTGGGTAGAGCAGCCACCTCTCAGCTCTTGAATGAGATTTCACTTCGAAATTTTTGAACATCTTACATTTAAATACTTTTTTCAAAGCTCTGTGCCATTATGTATGTGTTTCTGTCTCTTGAAGTGTCACCCTGTAATCGGTGTTTTCAAACTGACAAGGTCACAATATTAATGCAAATATTGTCCCACAGGCCATTTCCCTGGTGCTGAGGCTGAGTCACAGAGCATCACGGGTTTTCAAAACTTTCAGAGATGATGAAGTTATTAAGGTGCTCTCTGCGCTGATGACCCTGGGACAGCACGATGAAGAGCTCCTGACTGCTATGGAGAAACACCTACCAGGTGAGGTCTACTTTTTTTATCTTAGGGAAAAAATAAATGTGCCATTCATTGGCTAAAATGTGAGGTTGGCAACATTTAGAATTAATCCTGATGTTCTCTGCTGTGTCGGTGTCAGGGAGGCTGGGAACGTGTGATCCGGAGCTGATCAGCACCGTCATGGGGTACTGTCTGCAAATGAGGTGCCGCTCTGAGCCGATCTTCGAAGCTGTTGCTGAGAACTTTGTATGCCACGCTGAGAGGCACACCACCCTTCAGATTGCCAAACAGATAGTTGCCATGGGGAGACTTAACTATCTGCCACAGGTGAGCATGGTGCAATACTGTTTCTAACATAGTGTGTAAAGCATATTTGACTACTGGAAGACAAACTAATTAATGTCTCCTTTACTCCTCAGTGTTCCAGTGAGATGTTCAAAAAGCTGGAGAGTATTTTGTCAACGAGGTTTTCCCAGTTCCAGCCTCGCTCCCTGATAGAAGTGTTGCACGCCTGCATCCACCTGGAGCGCTTCCCACTCAACTACATGTCCAAAGTCTTCAGCCCATACTTCTTACAAAGGCTACAAGGTATATAAATGGCAGCATACTAAAAAAAAAAAAAAAGATTACTAAATTAAAGAACATTATGGGCCACCAATGACAGTTGCATTAGATTATACAGGTGTACCTAATAAAACGGATACTGAGCGTACACTCAGTCGCTATTATGCCACTTTTTGCACAGCATAGCATGCACAACATGTCAGTGTGTAAAAAAAGGTGGGGATAAATGTAAGCTGCCCTTGTCTGTCCGACAGCACAGGGGGAGCCATTGGACAAGAATGCACTGGGACAACTGACACAGCTTCATCTCTCCACCTCATTGGAGTGCACTCACTACTGGGTAAGCTTCACGCAGCTTAATACGTTTTGGAGATTTTGAATATTAAATAGTGCGTATAGTACTGTTATACTAGTGGTTTAATAGTTCAGAGTACGTAGTTGCACAAGTATGAAGTATTGATAACAGTGACGAACTCTCCTTGATGTCTTCCTCATCAGGGTCCCAGACTGCCCTATTTCCTCCATGTGAAGAGGTTTTCGTCTGTGGACCAGGCCTTTGAGACACCTATGGAGAGTCTCCTCTACAGACAGGTCAAAGGGCCGCTGACTGAGCTGCTGGGGGGGACGTTTTACTCCACCAGAACCTTTACCCCCAGTGGATACACAATAGGTAAGCAGTAACCATGTAAATGCACACAGACGTATGATCAAGATGGGAAAATATCAATTTAATTAATGCTGAACCAAAGGTTAAAGGGAAATATTAGTATTTTTCAACCTGGACCCTTTTTTCCCCCATGTTTTTTTGTGTCTAATGGTAACAACATTTTTGGAGATTGGTCCGGCATTGAATAAGAGCACCGCAGCCAGCAGTGGCAAACTGACACATACATCCACTTTAAGTGCTTGTTTTTGCCACTGACAGGTTCAGATCGCTATTATAGGTGTCTTACAAAGAAATTAAGTGTTTTCCTGGAACCTTTGGCTTTTGTCTGCTCGTTATTGTGTCTCAAGGAGAAGTCTCATTCTGAGTTCTCGTAAGTTGAGTTTTTGCAGGAAAACAATAAAAAAGAGACCAGATCAAGTGAAGGTCAAGAAAATGTTATTTTAACAACTATTTGCTCATTTAGTCAGTGAAAACCCAAACTGCTGTCCTCACAGACACAATGTATTTTGTTTCATTTTGCTATCCAGATGTGGAAATATACCTGGACGAGGAGGGATGTGTTCTGCCTCTCTCTCAGTGGGAACACACCTACAGAAGGTGAGACTCAGAGACAAGTGCAGTCAAATTGACGCACCAATTGTGTAGATTTTGCACCGAACGAAAGTGAACGAACTCTGGCCTATTTAGTGTTGCAAGTGAGCTGAATAACATCGAAGCCTTATCTTAACCGACAGTTAAAACTTTTTCTTCATGTTTTGTATATGTGTAGAATTGCACTGTGTTTGGATGGCCAAAACCGTTTCTGTAGCAACACACAGCACCTGCTGGGGAAGGAAGCCACTAAAAGGAGACACCTCCGCAGGATGGGCTATGAAGTGGTGCAGGTATGCTTGAGACACTAGATCATTGCATTTTGGCACCAAAGTTTTGCTAACTTGCCACTGCTTCTTGGGGAACTTAACTAGTTATCCAATATGTTTCATCAATCTTGCATTTATATTTGTTAAAGCAGTCTCCACTATAAGAAACTTACATTAACATATTATCATCAAGGCATGATATCCAAGGAAAAATGTCTTTCTCTGCTCCTTTGCTCTTCCAGATCCCTTACTTTGAATTTGAGAAACTGATAACTGAGGAGGAAAAGGTCCAATATCTGCACAACAAGATCTTTCCCACCATCTTCAAGTTTAGTCATGGATTGTAAACCCCTTCCAAGTTCAACCGAAGATTCCTCAGTATCTTTAAATGGATGATCTTCCAGTTGCTGTACAGATCAACTGTCCTTTCAATGAAGTATATGAGCATTTAGCCGAGTGATGCAGACTAGGTATGTAAAGTATGAAGAAGATACAAAGCATGGCAGAAAATGAAAATAATTGTCTGTGATATTCAGATTCAGCACATACATGTCCTAATAGGAGGACACTAATCATCAGAAATAAGGCAGAATAAAACATTTCAAAGGCATTTACGTCCCCAAATAACCAAGGCTTAATGTACCAGATGTCACTGTAAAACATAAGAGAGATCTGGCATTTGTGTTTGTTTCTATGTTCCCTTAAGTTTTTTTTTAATTTTATGAAACAGCCTGCCTTATTTTGAGCCTTAAAGTGAAAAAAAGTAATTGGATAGTTTCACAGGGATCACTGTTTAATACTAAGGTATCCGATATCAAAGCTCCCTGTTCAGATTGAATAGGGGTCAAGATGAAGATGAAAATACAGCTGCTGAAGACGGGTACTACCAGGTGAAATACAACATCCCTGGCGATTTGCAACTATTTCTTGTATTTGCACCGTAGGACTGAAATTCAGGACTATTTTAATGGCTATCATAACACTGACTTTTTTCGAATTTCAGGAAGCTTAATTTTATAATGGTACTGGCCATTTTTAGCCTGCTGTTAACTTATTGTTGTGATATGGACATGATGGCGACTATTTATGTGGTGGATTAATGAATGGCAGAGTGTTGTGGCTTCCACCTTTGTCATAGCATTGCTACCTCTTTTTTCAGGGGAGTGGGGTCAAAATGAAATGTACATGAGGTGTAAAAATGTGTTACATTAAATATTCATTTATTTGATGTTTGCAGATATGCAATACATTGCCTTTTATCCTTATTATCCTCTGGACTGGTGGTTGATTCTTCAAAGCAGGAAACACTGATTACTGAGGTATTGAACAGATTTGCATTTAACAGTCAATAACCGCTATGAAGACATTCCCCTTCTCTACAATTTGCCATATTGTTAAGGGCTGCTGATCAGACATACAGCAACACATTGAAAAAAAATGGACTTGAGGCATATGGTTACAAAATGAGAAATGACTGAATGACTGAGTGAAATCCAAATGTTCTGTAAATGTGTCTGTGCAATATGACGGGAAAATGAAGTCAGACAAAGACAGCTTTTAAATACTGCTGACCCTCTGTTTTTTCAAGCATACAAGATTCTTGTCTCTCTAATCTTGTCAGTTTTACATGCGGTGTGATACTGCATTCAGATGTCATCTTTTAGTCTTGCAAAATGTCACACAAATGCGATAAGAAGCAAAATGTAGGACACACTACATCTTGGCCAAGTAACCTGTGTTACGTTTTAAATCACCGCCACAGTGTGAAGTTTCCATGTCTCTCACTGACATACCATTCAAGTTTTTGGATAAAGTGTAAAACCAAAGGATTCCAATAACTCAAAATCTCTGTTATTATTGTCCAAAACATTTGGTAACATCTTCATACAACTGAAACATACACATACAAATGTTAGTGGGGGAGTTTATGACAAATGAGGCTGCAAAGACTAGGACAAAGAGGCATGAGAAAAGCAGTTGGGACGGACAGAAAATGGATAGCTCTGTATGGGATACAGGAAAGCTAAAGTTTATGTGTCAGGGCAAAATGAATGAGGAAAAGACAAAAGCTGATGGACAATATGTTGGATTTAAATGGATACAGCAGAGTGAGTTGGACCTCTGGGGCGTTGAGTAGATGGTGAGACTTTCATCCCTGCTGGTTCCCTTCTGTTTCTCGAACGTTCTCCCTCCTCCTCAGCCGTGGCTCCGAACATCCTCCTGGTTCTAATAGAACACACACTATGTTAGCCATATCTTATTTCTGACTAATGCAACAAACAGAGGTGGAAGGTATCACTACCAGAGCTATTGTACTGTAAGTGTTTGTGTACACTGTGTGTTTGTCTTCACCTTGTGGAAACAGGTGGCAACATAATAGTGCAGGGGTGTGCTGTGAGGACAGGCTCTCCTCTGACAGCTTCCATCATCAGGTTCTGGAGGGTGTTCAGCAGAAAATCCTCACTTATGTCAGCAGGCATGTGTTCAGCGTGTGGCGTGTTTTGTTTTGGGGGCCCTTTTCTCGAACATCTCGTAATTCCCTCACTGTCCACTGGGTTGTGCTGTTCTGCTTGCCCAGCCAGCATCCCACTCAACAGACCCTCAGGATGGGGTGTAGGGTGAGGAAATGGAGATGAGGAGCATGGATGGGGACTAGTTTCTTGAAGCTGGTAGGTGATAGGCTTAAATGGAAGAGTAAATAGAGACTGGGTAAAGGCTGGATCATCTAGTATGGACCTGTGAGAAGAGAGGGAGAGAGACACATTAATACACACACACACACACACACACACACACACTTGCAACAAGGTCCATTTACATATAAGCTAAGCCTAAATTCCATCTACTTTCAAACAGTTGGTGGTGCAAGGGTCTAGGTAGATGATTGAATTTAAGTCTTTACTCTGCGTATCTAGGTGTCTGTGTAACTGTTACCTGAGCAGAGAGGTGAGTACGTGCATTGTGATGTCTCTATCAGGGCCTTGTATCGTTGAAGGCAGCCCAGCAGGGAGGGATGTGCTTGATGAAGTGGTTTCCAGTTGCTGGGACCTGCCTGACTGGAGGCACCTAAGGAAGACAGCACAGATGCAAATGTTTCTACTCCTACAATAGAATACAGATCAGGCTCTTCAGGGTGCTTAACATAAGTCACAACTCATTTACTAAATCCTGAATAACGTCTTGTATGAACATTAGCATAAAGGACACTCTTTATAAAAAATGTGCATCAAAGTTCAGTCCATCTTAGTTGCTGTGAAGTGTGATCTGAGTAGGAATGCTTTACCGATAGTGTTGATCAGGGAAGTGTGTAAGGTACTCTAGAAGCCTGTGGGAGTGTGCTGTAACTCCCAGATGCAGCAGAGCAGGCTGAGGGGGCTCAGGATGTCTCCATGTTTTTGCTGTTTCCCGCTGTGCCCGCCGCTCCGCTTTTGTTAGCTTGATACATATCATGCCCACTGTCTCACAACTACCACTGATAGGAGGAAGAGTCTGGAGGCGACAGAAATTGAGTCATAAAGATGCAGTCACAATGAAGACATGCTTGATAAATGTCTCAGATGTTCACTTTTTTTTTTTTACTGCATGTCTATAAATGAATTTGATTACTATAGTATTTACACCTTGTATTTCCTGAATGGAGGCCCTTTTCTTACTGGAGCTGCTACAGGTTCCTGTAACAAAACAAAGGGTAAATAAAGGGAACGAAAACTGTCATATCACTGTCAAAAATACGACTCTGAACGTGAGGAAGGACCTTATCTATCAGAACTCATGGGCTTTCTGTAAGATTTTTGTCCGTGATTGTGAATTCATCTCGCTGTCTCTGTTTCTCTTCCTCCCAACGCTGCAATGCATCACGATACAGAGCTAGTGCAGCTTCCTGGATAACCTAGGGAGAAGAGGAGAGAACATCTTGCATCATCCATAATTTGCAGAAAAGTTTAACTTTAAACGTCCGCCAAACCAGGACGTCAGTGTCATTGAATATTGGACATTAATTCACCAGGCTCAAAAAAACAAGCAGAACCCTTATGCCACTTAATGCAGCTTTAAATCTACACCAGCGCTGCTGCAGTACCTGACAGACAACATCTAGCTGATAAACAGTGGGGTAGTCAGTAGAGGTGAAGGTAAGGACACAAAGGGCACTCTCCCCTGGACACAGATGACCTCGCTCTGGTTGGATCTGCACCACCTGACAACACAAAACACACAGACAGATATGGGAGAATCACTGATATACAACCTGCATATCTTTGTGTTGTCTATAAAAGACATGCCGATGCAAAAAGGGTAGATCTATGTGTGTCTTCCTCAAAATGCTGAAATCTACTTACTGTCATGCAACATTATTCACAGGCTACATGAGCACCTTTCTGTACCTGCTGATTGCTCTGCTGCAGCAGGTCCCATGTATAGTGGATAGTGTCTGTGTGGGACACATTGGTCAGGAAGAGGATTCGTGAAGATTGTGAGCACACAGGGATGTCGCCAAGAGAGACACTGTCCTCAGACAGGGATACTACCTACACACACACACACACACACACACACACACACACACAGACACACACACATTGAGATGCATGTATACAGCCTCAGATGGTCACTGACACAAAAACAAGAGGACTTAAAAAGAGTAGGCTGCTGGCATTCTGCAGAATGAATTTAAGTTAAATTAGGAATTGAAAAGATTTTGAAAACCTCTTACCTGTCCTGGAAACAGCAGCCTCTGGACAAAGGGTGCAGTTGCCTCAGTATCACATGTAAATGGGTTTTTGGAGCCCCGTGTAGGAGAATTAAACCCACATCCCTCAAACCTCACCAGCGTGGAGTCCCCATCTTGGACATGGATAGGAATCTCCATCTGATGATGCACAAAAACAGACTCAAAATCACAGGTTGTACATTTAGGTACTTACCTAACAGCAGTAATGCTTTGGTGTGTGTCATTATTCTGAATAAATGGATGAATAAAAAGTAATTAAATTGTTTCTTTGTATATCCATCTAAGTATACCAACTTCTGCTGGTGACAGTGAAGAGGAAACAGGCTGCCTACAATATAAGCTGCCCAAACCAGTTGCATAAAAGGTTTAAGGGGACAGTGGTGAGAAGGCAGGGGAGAATGGCTCGATCATTACTTGGTACTTCTTAGCTTCCAATGGAGAGAAGATCCATTCCAACATGGCCGTCATCCCAGGTAGGACCTCTCCCTCTGGATTGAGGCAGCACAGCACTGGATGGTTAAAGTTGTGCGCCTGTAGCTGTGACAGCACAGCTGTGTCCACCTCATAATGGACTGGCACTGCACCACCATTGTGTAACTCATACATCTGTAGGACAAACAAAGATATACAGGTGCAAAGTCACACGGGTTTTCTATCCTTTTAGGGAATCTCAGGTTGTAATGTAACAATGCAGTCCAACACTGGACGATGGATTTCCAAACACAGTTATTACAGAAGCTGAATTCATCGCTTTGTCTTTGTATGAACAAATCAAACAAAAGATTTTTCATTTTGATTCCGCTGCTGCAAGTGAAATCACAAGGAAAATTAATGATAGCTGTTTCACTTAATATGGTTTCATATACGAAATATTATACTATCAATCAGAGTGCAATACATTTCAGCTCACTGCTCACTGTGAATGTGCCGCTCTTAAAAGGCTTTATGTGACAGGAATTACACACCTGCCTTGGAGGAGTATAGTCCCTAATGGTAACCGAAGTGAAGACATGTCGCTTGGAGGCAAAGTGGAGATACGGCCTGTCTCTCTCCACCGTTACCCCCTGAAAGTTCAGCTGCATACAGAACCACAAGACATGCACGTGGAGTTCAAATAAAATATCCAACAAATATAAAGTTCACCATACTTGGTGATACATGTTAGGTAAGTGGATTTCTCCAGCTTTCCAGAAAAAAAGGAAAATATAGGAATAGTACTACTGATATAAAACTGTGGAATTTTAAATTTGATTCTACAAGTACAGTTGAGTGAATTTTGTGTGTTGTTAGACTTGAATGAATTTGAGCCTCATGCAAGTTTATATAGATTTTTGCCTCACCCAGATCTCTCTGCCATAAGAAAGTTTGAACACAACAGGAAGCCGATCTGTTCCAGCGAAGTCATGGCTGAGATAGACGACATTTAGATTATTGTAGGATCATGTTATTAGTGCCATCTGATTTCTGTGATGTCTCATTTCAACCATCTCTGACCTGTAGGTGAAGCGTACTGCCATCTGCTGGCCAGGGAGCAAAGTTCCAGAACGGGGAGTAACGCTGAACAGATGGTTGTCTTGAACCTGTTGATGTGATCGAGAAATGTTTGCATCTCTAAATTTTCAAAATTATGTGAAATGTTACAATCTTGGTGCATTTCAATCCCATAGTTATATTTAAAATTTCGTCATGTTTTTGGATAAAGAGGGGACATGTCAAACCTTCATCTGGTGCAGTTCGGTGCTGCTAAACTCTCCGGTCTCAGCCCAGTACTCCAACTCTATTTGTTGGTCCTCTGGAAACAAGAATGCCCTATATTAAAAAGAAGAGAGGCCAAAAGTCAGTTAATCAAAGATTTCAAAGAGTGGTAGGAAAAGGCCTATTCAAATTGACCCTATCAAGCTCTACTCCACAGTCCACAGTCGAATGGAGTCAGTTGGTAAAATGGTAAAATGATTAGCTGTATACAACAGTCTGGTCTGGTATACTGTACTGTGCTGTATACATAAATTGAGCAATTTATAACAAATATAAATAGAATGCAAATGCAGTTATCTTTGACTTGGATTTTCTGTATTTCCAGCAGTCTGGTTGTTACTCACCAGTCTACAGGGATGGATCCAGGGTTGTGAAACATAAACACAAAAGTTGAGGGCTCTGAATTCAGGGGAGCAGCACTGAAGTTGAAGTCCAACATGGCTTTGGTGAAAACGGAAGGACAACTGCTCACACTAGCGGGAGGAAAAAAAGACAGTCATGCACACTCCACATCTTGACAATGTAGATGCAGGATATCTCTTAAAACAGTATTATGTAACTATTATTCACAAAAAATATCTGTTGTGATCTTTAATTGTGTTTTCAGAGTTAATGTCAAGCATTAACATATTCTGCCACTAACCTGTGCCTGGTAGGCGTTCTGTAGGTGAGTTCTACAGGGGAGGGGCTGGACAGCATGTGCTCATTGAGGCTGTCCAGTGAGAAGAGTTTCCACAGGTGCACTTTGCTGAGTCTGCCCACATTGCCACCACTGCACACATCGATAACCTGGAGGGTGGGAAACACGCCCTGAGCTCGCACTTCACACACTGCCTGGGGAGGAGAGGATACAAACCCTGGGAAGAGAGACAGATATAGGAAGGGAGAGGTCAGTAGGTGTTAAGGATAAAGAAAAATGGCAGAATATATATTTAGTTTTGTAGCATCTGTGTTTCTATCTACCGCTGGTATTCAGCATCTGATAGCTGATGGTCCACAGGTACTGGGCTCGTCTGTGTGGTCTGACAGTGGCTCGGAGCAGCATTGTGGAGTGCGAGGCAATGGTTCCCCTCTTACAGTCCAGCTGTAGGGCTAGAGAGTGAAACAGGACACAAGTAGTCTACAACACTGGTTCAGCTATATCTATATCTATTATAATCAGTAGTGGATTTTGTCTCCACTTTAGTGTCTGTCATCATATGGTCATAGTTTTAGTTAAGTCAGACAGGTGAGGTCACAGCACTGGTGCTGACTTAGCATTGGCATTGTTTAAGTTACTTTTCATACAAACCAATATGGAACCATTGGTTTGGTTGAATGGTTACCCTAAAAGATGGGAAATATTTTATTTACAGCACATTAAATGGTTGATTGGTCTCAGTAATGCTATGGTGCAATTGTGTGATGGGCTGGGAAGACAAACAGATTGTGCAGCAATGACTTACTGACAGGTGCACGTTTGAATTAAATACTATCATGTAAACACAGTACGTAAAAGACAGCATGAACTTTACAAAAGGAGAGTACCATTTGGCTCAGTCTCGGGGTCGTAAGTAAGCTCCCTATCCAGAAGTATCTGCCGTACAGAGATACCAAAGGAAACAGAACAGGGGCTGTTGTTTACAAGAGGAATTTGAATCGACTGACAGCTTCCAACCAGAGTCTCCCCAACATCCAGAACTGCTGTCTCTGCCTGGGGAGGAAACAAAAATGCATGCACTGCTTAGGTTTCAGAGTAATTTACACTCCAGAATGTGAATGCAACAGCCATTCAAATTTGTTGAAAATTCACATACAGTTCCAGTGCATGTCCACATGAACATACACACACATAAAAATCAAACAAACACCATGACATTCCCACCTCTATAAAGCCTTTAGAACCCATCCCCACCACTTTAAGGGTAAGCTGTGACTTGTTACATCCTGGAGTCTGGACCGGCCAGAAGGTGAGAGTGGGTTTAAGTGTGTATATTTTTTCTGCCAGTGGGCTAAAGGACCATATCTGGACCTGTAACATCAATAAGTTGAAAACAGTTTAAAGAAAATGTAAATGAACTTGGTTGCTAATGTTGTTTTGATCAGATGCACAGTCTCTGCTTGCATAAATGTATGTATGATTCATTCAGTCTCTCACTGAGCTCTCATTGGGATGTAGTTCACCAGCATCTGGTTCAACAGAGATAAGCTCCTGGTCTGGCTCTGGAATGCTCCATTGGAATCTATCAAAAAAAGGACAATTACAGAAAGCCAGCTGTAGACAAGATTAATGATGATGGGATAACTCCTGACTACAAACAATACACTGAAAAATGTCACAACAACCATTATGCCAACCAACCGCAGAGGTAGACAGCTGAGGTTCCTGATGTGGTGAGAGCGCTGCGTAAGTGAACCCACCGCTGTTGGCTGGAAATATAAACTGCCATCTCCTTCCAGAGACACACACAGCTTTTCCACCACACTGACAACTGTCAGTTCCTAAAGGATACAGAGACAGATGCACAGATAAAATAACCTGCAAGCAAAGTGTAGGGAGGGGGATCCCTGCTTTTGTCCTCTCTGTTCTGTGTAGTGTATATAGTACCTTTGTGTGTTTAGCTGCGTTGAGCTGAAGGTGTAAAGTGAACCCTTGTTTGGGACTGTCTTCTGTGGGAGTTGTTCTGAGGGTGAGGATTTGGTGATTCCCCGGCTGGATCAAACCGCAGCTTGGCACCACAGACAAGGATTCTGCCAAAGCAGGGTTTGAGCTGTGATCCAGACAGAAAGTGAGAGGCAGGTCCCCGTGATTGTGGAGGAGAACTGTCCGACGAGAAAGCACACTAAGGGCTGGAAACACCTTAAAAGAAAAAAAAGATCAGTTACCATAGTATCATCTCTTTGTGTATAGCAGTGATACATCTTTTATAATTGTTTCAAAGGAAAGTTTTAGCTTGACAAAGCCTTCATCATTTCTCTAAGGGTAAATGATGATTCAACTTAAATGGCACCTTAATTTTTTGCTGTTTATTGAGAGAATGGAAGAACTATAAATACAGGAAAGACTAGAGGAGGAGGATGAATACAGACAGAGAGAAAACTCTCTCTCCTGCTTGTGTCTCACCACTCGAGGGGGCTTCAGGGAGCAGCATGGGATGAAATGCTCTTTGCCAGGCTGAAAGGAGTGGCCGATGACTCTGACAATCACACACCAGGGTGGACACAGCAGTCGCTCCTCTCTGTGAGAATTGTCCTGCAGCAGCCAAGGATGTAAGAGAAAAGAGTGGCAGCGGCATAAGAGACAGAGCCAGAAACATAAGAGTCTGCCTCCACGGAAATTTGAGTGGGCACAATCACTTAATGTGACAAAATTTTCCTGTAGATTATGAAACAATATTACCTTGTAGTATGCAAAGCACTCAAGTTGCGCTCCGTGCAGAGTATTGAGCTGCTTGGGGTCATAGGTCACTCTGAATGAGGTGGACTTCAGTGGAGCTAGGTCACATGATGAGGGAGAGACAGAGAATGGAGAGTCTTGGGCAGCAGTCCACACCAGGCTTGAGTGGAATCACATGCAACAGAAACCAGATTGAGTATGAAAAACTAAAAACAAATATGCAATTCAAGTTTTGTTTCAAAAAATATATATGTGTGTGGGTAGTGCCATGATAAGCCATAATCCAGGGCAAGCAGGAGTACCTGAGTTTTCCCCTGGTGTGGTTAGTGATGGAGACAGGTTGAGAGGAAACGGATGTGGTAGACAAATAGGAGGATGTTTTGTGATTGAACAGTAGCTCACTGGGCACCACAGATACATGTGGGGATGACAAAGAACTGGAAGAGAGCGGATCCATGACCCCCAAGCAGGATTGGTAATATTCCCCCAGGGGATCTCTGGATACAACACAAGCACTGTCTGGTCTCTGATGTGGCTGCTAAAAAATGACACAGAGAAAGAGTCAGAGACAACACTAAATTGTGCTCTTTACTTGTGACACCTGGTGTTCATATGTTATTTAATGGTTTCTTTGAGGAGACAAATCTTTCATCCCCCTTTAGCACTTTACCTCCTCCAGGGGGCAGAGCACTCCCTGCTGGTCAAAGTGTATGTTATGATCTTCCTGCATGGTATTGCTAGTGTCTGGTGAGTCCTGACTGTGGTACCAGTAGAGCTTGTAAAGAACCAAGTGCTCAGGTTTCAGTATGGCTGGTTGCTGGATCTCCGAGTGACAGGTACCAATCAGGTCAAGGAACACGGGGTCCTGCAAGAGAGAGTAGGTGCGTTGATACGTAAGCAGAATGAATAGTCTTGATGATGTTTGTGTGTGTGCTCGGAGTGTGTATCCATCTTCATACTGGCTCGTACCTTGTGTAGTATGAAACATGCCACTCTTCTGTGATGCGCAATAGGTTGTGTGGGCCTAAAGACTGCCTTCAGTGTGGTATCGCTATTTGGGCATGCAGTGCCACTTGCTGGCTGGATGGAGAACACACTGTGCCCACCACAGTCAAGATCCCATTGGTAGAAAGCCTCAACAGGCGAGGAATTAACCAGTTTCACTGTCTGTACGACTGTTCCTCCCTCCTCTACACAGCCAAAGTCGATCACAGAGGAGGACAAGGAAACTTTGGGACCTAGTAACAAAAAAGAAATACTTTAATTGCTTAAAAAAGTTAAGGAATATACTAGTGAGGTATGCACTTGTCTGTCTTTCTAAGATTGTAAAACAATGTTTTTTTAGATGGTGTATGTGTATGCCTTTCTGTATGTTACCCACCTACACAGTTTCCACTGAGTTTGAGCAGAGTCTCATTGAGTGCCCCTCTACATTTTAGAGATATGTACTCAACAGAGACACTATCCACCACAGCAGGACTATAGGTGACTGTAGCCCGAAGGGAACCACCGGGCACCACTTCGCCCCTAGTCACATCACAGCTGAACTCTGACCCCAACAAAGGCACCACACTGGACAGTCGCGAAAGAGAGAAAGATGCAGTTACCTATAACAGAGGAGTATGAAGAGCGGTGAGAGAGAAGATCATTGAGAGTGCACATTTGCGTTTGTGTATCTTTGTGCACTGCTCACAGGGGAGGGGTTGAAGATGTCAAAGTGTTTCTGCAAACTTTGGCTGACTGCCACAGAGTCGAAGTGTAGCACTGGACAACGCTTTTCTCTTTCATCCATGGTATCTGGATTTCTCAGCTGAAGACAGGGGTACTTAGCTAAAAAGAAAACCACAGGCAAGTTAAGAGAAGAGAGTGTTGGTTCTTCATCTCTTTTCACAAAGTATTCTGAGAATAACTTAATAGCCAGTTGTCATATGGTTCAATCCATAATGACAGAGGCATATTATCAGCACATCAAGAATATAAATTGCAATTAAAATCAAAACAAATATGGATGCACATCTCTTACTCAAATTTGCATAGTTAACCAAAGAGTGGAGTTCTGCTGGGAAATGTGACCACAAAATGTGCCCCAAATAATATTTGTTTAGGCGTTGATCATACAGTTCATAGCACTGATTTATGTGTCTGCCTATGTTTTCAAAGCTGGTAAGTTTAATTGGTAACCTTAAATCCATCTGACATGTACTGGATCCAAAATCTGTAAAATAATTAACCTCATCTTGTCCTGGCTTAGCTGCTAGTTACAATACCTAGTCCCTGCAGCAGAACACTGCAGCAGCAGCTCTGTGCCTCGTCCCCTTCTTCCCCGAACCTGCAGTTGACCTGTTGCTGGTACACCAGCGCCTTTTGTGGTCGGAAGACTACAGTTATGTCACACTCCTGGCCAGGCTTCAACAGGCCTTGCTCAGGGCTTAGCTGGAATGGTGCTGTGCACTTCCACTGGAAGCATGTCTGGAGTTTACTGTGGGAGGAAGTGCAGGCAAAAAAATAGGGAAGACACAAAAAAAGATAAGAGGGACTGATTAACAAGTGTGAAGTAGAGTGAAGGAGGAAAGAGTAAAGAGTCTGACATAATTTGTCCATTTCCTGGCTGCAAAGCACAAACACACAACTAAGAATGTAAACACACTAAAAATACATTCATACAAAGCATTCTGCTTCCTTTCGTCCCTGATTATTCATCCCTCCAACAATACTGCATTTGTCAAAAACACACTCATATGTACCTGACATTTTTGAGCAGAAAAGTAGTATGGGAGGAGTTCTCCACAGCACAGAGTGGCAGCAGCACAGAGTCAGGCACCTCCAGAGCATGGCAGGGAATGGTGGCACGGAGGTGAACTTGGAAGCTGCCATCTTTACCTTGAAACTCAATAGTGTCTTCATACTCACACTGATCCAAGCAGTCAGGCAGACACCCAGACACAGACAGAAAATATGAAACAGGAAATGTTGATCATGTTACATCTCTTTAACTGTTATCTGAATAACTGTTTTGCATCTTCTTAAAACCATACATGCTTCATGTGGTGCCGTAAGTAATTTTGTTCACACAACTTTTTTCTGCTCAACAAAGACTAGCCTATTACTCCTAAATGAATAATAATGGTCTCTAATTTTCTCAGTTCCTTTTTATCTCTCACCACTCTAAAATTATTATTTAAACCTATCTGTCCATTTATAATGGTGAGATTGCACATTTATTTGTCTTAAATGTAAATAAGCCCATATTTGAAACCCCTAAAGCAAAAATTCTTTCAAAGTACTTATGAAATCTATTGATAGATGCAATTTTGTATAAGTTCTGATGTGTTACCCTCTGGAGTGGTCTAAAGCTGACTGGAATGGAGTAAGAAGTCCCAGGGCTGATGACAATCACCTGGGGAACCAAGGTGCTGAAAAACTTAGACACTGGAGGCCTGTTAAGGGATAAACAATAGGATGTGATTATCAATTTTATATTGCTTTGGTTGGAAGTAAACAATAAACAGTAACTGGTAAAAATACTTGAGCTTCTAAGTGCGTTTATAAGACCTGACGTGTAGCTTTTGCAGCTTGTTGTGAATATTTTTTAACACTACTGTCTTAGTGAACTCTCTTTGCAGGTCCCAGTCCTCCCAGACCAGCTCTGGCTTCAATTCCAGCCCTAAGAAGCAGCTTCTTTGGCTGGATGCTTGTCGCTGGTACTTTCCATCCTGCTGCCTCTTGTGAATCCCTGGGTCCTGCCAGTCGAGGCCAGGCGGAGGATGCAAGTTTTGGAAACAGACAAAGATAAATTACCTTTCAAGAAACTGAAGGAGGTCAGAAAACCAGAAAAGCCCACAATCTCTACAAGCACTGAGTAGTGTAATTCAGATTTAGAAGTTTTGTGTTAACATTACATTAACTTAGCAGCCCACCTAGTTGTTTTTTTCCATAGGTAAATAGGCAAAGTAAATGGACAAGGACAGCTTTAAAATATAATACAGATTTAGGGATAGACTGCTGTTGCTCATGGACAATTCTGCCTATTTGGAGAGGGGTGTATACTGATCAGACTGGACACACAGGTTCAGTGAAACTCAGTGTCTGTTAAAAAGGGAAAGCGGTTTCAATTCAAACTTTAGTTACTTTCATATCCTTCCCAGTGGTGAGGGACTTCCATGATGCTCCTGAAGCCAAGGGGTCAGGACCCCGAGCCTCAGCTAACATGGCTGGAAAAGGCAGACGTATTTTATATTAAAACAATAAAATAAAGAAAAGTGTCTCGTGGCTGCCTTATGTTTACCCTGGTTTTGAGATGTTGCAACTTAGCACAGGTGACACATTTATTACAGTCTCACTCTAAGACGTGTCTGACCTAAACAAAGCTAACGTTGAGAGTGTTTTGGAGTTAACGTAAAATAAGACCACAGTTAGCTATTTGCTAACACAAGGAGTACAAAGCTAACAGCTAAACAGAATAAAATTCTTGCTAAATTAAACATGGCTGGTCCAAAAGACAAACCTTACCTTCATTCAAACGTGAAACAATAAATGCTGCAAACTGCTTCTATTCAGTCAATTTTAGTTGTGAAAACACCGCGAACATTAGTCACTACACAGAAGTTTGCTGGCAACGGCGTTACCACGGCAACAAGCAAGTGTCTGTGTCACTATAGTAATTACGGCAGCCGAGGAGAGACCTTTGCAATTCGCGAAGTGGTAGTATTTATTAAACTGGAGAGTGTTTTATTCATGACAAATGGAGAGTGTTTTATTCATGACAAACGATATTGTGACTTGTTATTAAGTTAGTGCCATATTTAATACAAATGTGACTATGAATTGATGACACGAGCAGAAAGTGACTCATGCCACCTCGTTACAAAATAGCTGAATTATTCCTTTAACTGCAAATTGCATTCACTGTCATTCACTCTCAGTGTGAATTTATTGGACTCAACACACATGAATTCAGTTTTATTTTTCAAACTAATCCTCTCCAAAAAACAACAACACTGCTTTAAAAGTAAAATATATTAAATTCTATGATATTAAATTATGCTGACAACATAACATGCTTATTATCAGAGCAGTTTACAAAATACAGGGAAAAATGCCATATTAACAGTACATTCAAATTACCTTACAGTGCATGCAGACACCTCTTTGTGTGTGTGGCTTTAATTAAATATAACATGCAGTTTCAAGAAGATAATACAAAACAAATAGCTGAATATTGTACAACAAAAATTCATAACCATATAGTAAAAAATAGTACATTAGTCATAATAGCATTTTCCTTGCCACACCTAATGCCCTTAAACCTCAGCCTGGTGACTATGAATCCATTTCAAATATTGGTGGAATATTTGTCAAGCATTTGTAACAGACTGTGATGCACTGATGACAATGTAACATTGATATTGTTGACAACATGACTCTCAGAGTTAATTATTCTGTCTCTTTGTCCCTTCCATGAAAGTGCTATAACTCCCCATTCAGTTTATGTACATTCATAGATACACAGGTTCATTGCAGACAACATAGACTCTCAGTGTGTTTGTACGGTTTAAATCACAAGTAAATCATGCACAAAAATGCCCATAATAAGTCAAAATTAATTGTTGATTCTGAAGTCATACTCAGATGGATTAATGACCATTAAACCATCAAATGTCCTGGTACATAAAGATGGCATTATTCTGGTGTGATGTGATTTCATATGCAGCCCAACATGCAGATGTCGACATACCCTTTTGTTAATTTACGAGCTCAAGGCACAGCTATGGCACTATGGGTTGGGCTGTGAAAATGAATGATCCTCTTCATGCCACCGTGTTAGTGCACCTTATTGCACTGTGTAATGTCTTCTCAAGAGTAATAAACATAAAAAAGACGTACAATAAAAGCATGCTGAACTTTATAACTATGGGAAAACCCCACTTCTTGTTCTCGGGCCTCCGTCCTCCTCTGAGTAGGAGCTGTAGTTCCCTGTTCCTCCTCCAGCATGCCTCACGAAGCCTACAGAGCCTAAAGAACCCGCTCTCAGCATCTCTAGCTCCTCTTTAGCGTCCTCATCATCCCCCTCTATCTCATCTTCATCCTCCAGACTCGAGCTGTGTGAATCACTCTGAGGCTTGACACCGTTAATATTCATTCCTGCTCTTTCTGTGTTAGTCAGTGGTGTTGCTTGCTCCTTGGCTTTACGACTTCTCTTCCACTTCATACGTCTGTTCTGGAACCAGATTTTAACCTGGTGAAAAACAACAGTAATCAGTTCTCCTACTCTTAAGTGATTTGTAGCTGGGGGAAGCAATATTTAAAAAGCAGGACAGCATTACCATGTCATAAATAAGGATGGTGGCAAGCTTGATAGCTTGACAGAGAATAGGAAGGATGGGGATCATACACTGAAACACTATTCAACAATTCAGTCCAATACATTCTACAGGCTCTGATTCTCTCACCTGAGTCTCAGTCAGCATGAGTGAAGTGGCCACCTCAAAGCGTTTAGGCCTGGACAGGTACTTGTTGAGTTTGAACTGGTTTTCTAATTCCAGCAGCTGCTGGCTGGTGAAAGCTGTCCTGGGCCTCCGACACTTCCCCAACAAACCTGCTTGGGCTGGGACTGACAGGGGAAAAGACAGAGAAGCAGCGAAACAATAGCAGAGAGGGGGGTTATTCTGTGTATTATTCTGTGTAACACTTTATCATTTTCATCTTTTCCTATAAGAGCTCACTTATTACAAACAGTGGGCCTATGATCAAAGGAGGCCTATAGACGCATTTAAGTGAAAGAAAAACAAAGAAAGAATCATTTGACAGATATTTTTGTGGTGTACAGTATCTTCAAACAAATCTGCACAACACCTTTCAATTTTGTTTCCCTTACACTGTTTAGATCATAGGCCTACCTGCCTGTCTGTTTTATATCTTTTCTCTGTCCATTAACATTTATTGCCATGATGATGTGAGGTCGTGGTGAGAGGATATTGCTTTGGAGGGGTAATAAACCATCACAGGAGACCATTACCTTAATGAATACACTGTAAATGTTATCAGTTGATTAAGTAGGCCTATTTCAGGTGTTACCTTTACCATAAATGGAGCACATGTTTTTATGAGATACATTGTTTTTAAGAGATAGCATCTCAGTGTCACGGTCCTTTCAAAACCAACACACAGGTGTAAAGAGGCTCTAAAAACATTAATAAATTGGCTGTTGACCTCCCCATTACAAAAACACACAACACTAGTGTATGTTTAATAACATTTAATTTTCAATGGGAGGCTTATGAATGATCGATTTGAATTTAATTTTGTATAAGCTGGAGTATAGTTCCTATATCCTGCATTAAAAATTTTAAGTAAATTAGCCTATAAATATACTTTTTATACATTAGATGAAATAATGAATTATGATAACATGAAATATGCCATATAAAAGATGTTATTTACACTTAAATAAGGATAGTAATCTTTTATATATTAAGTATAATAATGCTATTTTAAATTGTTTTGGTTCTCTCACCATCTAAAGTTATAGGAATGATGATAAAGTTTATAACTACAGGAGACAGGGAGATCCGCTCACCTCCATATTCTCCTAATCTGGGTATCATCATCCCGGCTCTGATCCAAGGCTCCAGCGGGAGCGTCGCGGCCCCCTTCAGCTGCTCCGGGTACGGATGGACCAGCTGCGTGAAACCGGGGTATATGAAGGCGGGATGCTGGCCTCCGAGGCCCGCCAGAGGGTACATGGAGCCCGGGTGCATTCCGAGGAGACCCCCTTGGTGGAGAGCAGTAAATCCTGACTGGGACAAGCTGAAGAGCTGGGATTTGGAGGCTAGGACTCTCGGCTGGGCTGGAGAGGAGTTTGTTGTGTTTGGATGAGGGGAAGGCGTCTCTGATCCGCGGTTTGACACCGGACTGCCGCCGGGGCTTCTGCTGTAATATAACCCCGGGGACGCACCGTCGCTGTCCGCTCTCTGCTCCGCGTCGTGCGCCAGTAGCGCATCAATACGAAAGTTTTTAGATTTCTCCAAAGTGGTGGTCATTCTGTCCAATGATGAACTTTGAAATGAAGTGTCTCTAAGTTCTGAGCACACTATGTGAAAGTTATCAGAAACTGCTATAGCCTAGTCACTCCTCTTACCCGAAGAAATGTCCTCGTTCTGACCCACTCCACTTCAGCCCCGTGCGTAAAAACCAGTCCACTCACTCCAACAGTGAGCTGAAAAATTACTCGCACCCAATAGAGCTATAAAGTCTGCTCCATTGTGATTGGCCAGAGCCCTGCAGCTGCTGGTGGAAGGAAAACTCATTAGGAAAAGTAACAATACCACACTGTAGAAATAATCCGTTACAACTAAGACATGCATTAAAATTTTACTCATGTAAAATTACAAAAGCATCTAAATATACTTATGGTAATAAATAAATAAATAATAAATGAATAAATAAATAAAATTACTTATTTTTCAGAATTGCCCTATTCAGAATGATAAAGGCTGGTTATTGCATTATATTTTTTGAAACATGAATGTGTTCTTCACTTCATGTTGTGGCTGGTTAATGTAGGTTTTTTTTTATTATGTTAACTGCTGGGAAGCAGTCAAGTCTTATCTTTATCTATTGCAAAGTAAAAAATCATAATATAATATATTTAATACATTTTGTATTATTAATCTGAATCTACAATGTAACTCGTGATTAAAGGTGTCACATAAGTAAAAAGTACAATATTTGCCTCTGAAATGTAGTAGAGGTATAAAGTGGCAGACAATGGAAATACTCAAGTAAAGTACAAGGACCTCAAAGCTGTACTTAAGTACAGTACCTGAGTAAATGTACTTAGTTGCTTTCCACCACTGCCAGCAGCACAGAGGCTGGGTTAATCATATTGGTGCGCTCCTGTACCAGCTGCATATGTTGGATTTTATATGTCCTTACATGTCATTAGTCCTTAAGCATTCACAATGACATAAGAGTAACGTGCAAGTGACTTATTTTCAGTTTGTCTGTTATCTGTCTGGCAGTTTGACCTCCAGTTCCATGGAGGTCAAACGGTCTGTCTCAGGTGTGACTGGGGTGTAACTTTCTCACACACTGTCTTGCACACAGGCATTGTGTTGCACACACACAAGCATATGAGACACACACACACACATACACAAGCAAACTTGAAAACTATATTGCGTTAATCGCTGTAATCTCACTTTAGAGAGATGGCGAAATTCATTATTTTACAACTAAGTCTTCATTAGGTTTTATTGGCTGCTAAGGTTGACAGAAACCCAACAGTTGTTATCAGTGGTTGCTGCCATCATTATCGGTCATCACCACACCATGGAGCAGATAAAGGGGCAGTAAACTGACAGAGAGCAAACTCATTTTCTCCAGAGCCACACACAAAGTATGGACAGGTGACACAAAATTCTGTGGC